CAGCCTGGCTGGGGAATGCTGGGAGTTGAAGTCCACTCATCTGAAAGTTGCCAAGGTTGAGAAACACTGGTCTAGAACGTTTGGGAAAAGAGGCCTGTTTTTGTCAATTGTACAACCGGTTGTGAAGCTCAAGTGTGAATATTCTTACGTCTGTATTAGACATTTTCTTTGCAAATCTATTGTTCGATTAAAATGTAAATGAAATAAAAGATGGTGTACACCCATCATGTATAATAAAGCAGACTCCATCGCTATGATGGATTTAATGCTCATTTTTAATGGTGCATTCTCAGCTTCTATTTAAAAAATATAATTTAAAAAAAAATCTGTAAAACAAAATGGGGAATATATTTCAGGGTGGGGTAATGAATTCTATTCCATTTAGTTCCGTTTTAAATTTCCAAATTGTATTGTTTTTTTCCCTTTTGTGTTAGAGGAATAGGATTTACACCGGGGAAGTTTAGACCGTACGGTCTGTATTTTTGGGGTGGGAAGGTTGGAGAGATGGGAACCGGCTTTGTGATTTAGCCTGAATAGCAGGGTGAACTCTGTATATGCGTGTGTGTTTGCTGTAGCACTGAAGTAGAGATTGTTAGCTTTAAGGCTGGTCACAGACTTTAGCAAATTGTGGTTTGTTTGTTTGTTTCCCAGTGTTTCAAGAGAGAATTAATAGAAAAAGTTTGCAATACTTGACATGTATTTGCATGCCGTAAAATAAAAAAAAGAAATCTCTGCTTAAGTTTGTTTTGCTTTTGTCTTATTGTGGTGTTGGGGCAGGATAAAATGTCTTTTTATATATGGGCGGGGGATGTTAAGCAGATGTTTGTGTTTTTATGTGGTCTTCCAGAGGTTCAGGAAGATGTTGGACTGGGAGAAGAGGGACCTTGACCAGAGTCCATAGATGGTTTTGTGTTAGTCACTCTCTCAGGTTCAACAACCTTGTGGTTTGTTTAGTTTGTACTAAATATGTTGGAGGAATCCAGCCATTGTGTCTCATTCAACAAACCATGTTTAAATTACAGCTTGCTACAATTCCAGATTCAGACCTTGCCTGATGGAGTGAGAGAACTTGCTTTGTTTTATTGAAAAAAGGGCAAACAAACATTGAGCGGAGGAGGCTAAACACAAGTAAGAAGATTTATCACAGCCTAACTCTTCTGAATCCCAAAGATCAAGGACTTCAAAGTCCACGTGGGATGGTATGTTAAGCCTGTGATGGCTTTGATGGCAAGAACAGTTCAGAAACCATGGTGAGATGGTGTGTAGTTATAGAAAAGCTTTGAGTTTCTTGACCTGCTGTGTGTGGAATACGAGAAAATTGGTGGTAGCTGAGTCCAGTAAAGTATTTTGTAAGATCGCCCTGGGTTTTTGAGTCGGCCCAGATTTCTTGCACACTAAGAAAGAACTGGATCCATTCCGCCATGGGGGTCATGTTCTAGATGGCTGTCACCCAAGGAGTGGCAAGATATGGCCACAGATTTGCGCCAAAAGATCCTCTTCCATTCTCAGCACCCTCCCCAGGCAATGGCTGGATTGCCAGAGGCAGCAGTCCCACCCCACCCGCTTCCTTGATTTATAGGAACCCCCTCCCCGATTCTTGTAATCATCTTGGGATGCCTGAAGGTGCTTCCCATCCCTCTGATCCTTGGATGACCATCATCACTCTTCCCCTTAACAGAAGAAGACCCAACAACCCTCCAGATGCGGTTGCACTGCCTCGCCTGGAATGCTTTGCCCGCAGCTGGGCTGGCTGGGGCTGCTGGGAGTTGTAGTTGAGCGATACTGGAGGGCTGCACCTTCTTAATTGCAATAGAGGTTGGCTCTCATCTCATGGGTAAGTGGTTGCAATATACTTCAGTGGCTTTTGGGTTGAACTTCAGTTGTTTTCCGTATATTTTGGCATATAACAATGACTGGGCATGAAATAAAAGAAACCCACTCGGTGCTTGGGAGGTTATTATTGTTTTGCTCTTTGCAAGCAGGCTTGGGGCTGAGCGACTAGGCCTGAGTCACCAATAGCAACCAGCTATTTATTGATGGTTCCCCTTTCCCGCCGGCAGGGGGCTGAGCGGGGCTTGCCCTGCCTTTCCTCCTCCGCGGAGCGACAGGAGCACTTCCGGATGCCAAGCGACCATGCGGGTCAAAGAGTGGAAAGAAGCGCGCCGGCGAGCCAGACGGAGCGCTAACCGTGCAACAGCGGGCGCGAGGCTTTCCCCTACGCCTGCAGCACTCGGGAACTGAGAAGAAACGAAGCGAACGGAGCTGCTTGCGGCCTTTCATCGTTAAGGAGCGACTGCTTGGCACATAACCAAAGCCGTTACATGCGAATCGAGCTGGGTGTGATTTTAATGTAAGAGAAATGATGGAGTGACGGTGGGGGGAAAGACGGAGGCATCCATAAAGGCATCGCGCGGACCAGCCCAGCGATGCTTCTTCTGTTGCCCCGCCGTTTCCAAAAGGGACCGGGAGTGCGGGTACGACGCGAACTGTTTTCTCTCCCTCTATAGCCTCGCCTGCCTCCTTCCTCCTCCCGCCCCATTTCCCAGCCTCCTCTGCGCTCCTTCCTTTGCGTCGGTTCGGAGGAAGAGAAGCCGCCCCTCAGAGGGTGAGGAATGGGGGGCCGCGAGTGGGCTGGCCTGCCCCGCAGGGAGGGTGTGGGAAAGGAGGGGGCTGGGAAAGGGGAGGCTGGCCTGCCCCGCAGGGAGGGTGTGGGAAAGGGGGGTGTCTGGCCCACAGGGAGGGTGTTGGAAAGAAGGGGGCTGGGAGGGGGGGACTGGCCTGCCCCACAGGGCTGTGAAGGAGGACTGGCCTGCTCCACAGGGAGGGTGTGGGGAAGGGGGGTGTCTGCCCCACAGGGCTGGGAGGGGGGCTGGCCTGCCCCACAGGGAGGGGACTGGGAATGGGGAGGATGTTAACGTGAATTCAGAAAAGACACCTTGGGAAAGAAATCCGTTAATCGTTCCCAAAAGCAGCAGCTTTCCCTTCAGGCCAGGCGGCCTGCCCGCAGGGGTGTTGTGAGATGCTGCCCTCCCAGCGGCTTCCTGCAGATGCCAGAGGTGGAAGGTGAGAGGACGAGCCTTTGCGCCTCTCTGGGGGAAGAGCCTGAAGCTGTGGCGTCTGGGTGTTGGGTTCCTCCTTCAGTGGCCTCCAGGCTGTTGGCTGCCTCTGACTCCCATCATCCCCAGCCCGCATGTTACCCAAGAGCAAGGCCAGAATCACCCAACTGGAAATGCACTCTAATAGCCTCTTTTCTGAAAACCTGGCCATGTGGCCTTAATTGCCCCCAGTCAAACGCTGCACATCTTGAAGCTGAAATCCTTAGAAACGTAACCAGTACAGTGTACGGCTGCGGGTGCTGTGGGTCCACCAATATTGCGTCCCATATCCTTCCGGCTTTGTTTGTTGTGGTCCAGTTGTTTTGCTAGCGAGCAACATTTATGTTTTGGGAACTCGTCCTCTGCTTCCTTTTCAGAGGAAATTTGTGTGGCTTGTAAACAAAATCAGCAATGGCTGCCCATTAAGTTATCAGGAGCAAGAAAACAGCAATAGAATTGAATTACTAATTACTACCCCTCTCTACGGCCTCTGGAAAAGGCTTGTTTTATCTCTTAGCGCTTGTAAGCCAGAATAAAACAGAAATCACGAAAATTCCAAAGCCTGGATCCATTTTGCTGTTTGCCTGGATTAATTCAGCTTTTTAATCCCCAGCAACCCTGAGAGTTATTCAGATGTGTTTCTCCCTTCAGGCTGCTCTAGGAATCATCTTTAAAGTCATCTAAGCTAGAGCTGTTTCCATATCTTGTAACAGAGTTCTGTTCATTAACCACCTATTTCTTAGCCTAACAAGAAAGATGCTTTTCTTCTGGGCTCACAGTTAGTGTTCATGTCACCAAGGAAATCTGTTTTGTTTTTTTTCCCCCTACCTCTTAACAACTGATGTGCCAGATGGCTTTTAAAGTTCCTGCTGGCAAATCCAGAACCTACTGAGAGGATAAAGGAGGGATTAAGGGTGGGTGTTAATGCCCCTCTTGCTGGTGTTGCTTTCTCATTGGTACTCATCTCTATATTTAACCATTTTTGGGGGGGGGGGAGATAAAAAATTGAGTCTCTTAAGCAGGAGAGCACATGATCTGGTATTAGTCCACCAGCTGAATTGGGGTGAGTTTTGATCTTAAGAACGCCGCGGCAAAACCAAAGGTAATTGGGTTTTGTAGAGAGAAGTCTTGTTAGACCCAGAGGTTCCAAGGCAGTGAGAGGCAGCCGAATTGAAAAGGAGACTCGGCTGTTCTGCACTTAGCAGTTGTTTTCTCCCGCTGTCATTTACTTATTTTAGCTTTCAGAGCCAGTGATGAAAGGAGGCAATATGGCACTCAAGGACAGATGCTTCATTCGCACACAGTGCATCAGTTTTCCTGTAGCATTAGGTCACACGACCTGCTGCTTTGCTGTTCCTCTCTTTTAGCTTGCTAACCAACGTGTGCTGAAGCCAGAGAGAATTGGAAGAGCAGGTGGCAGCTGTGGCCAGAGGGACCTTTGCACAGATCCATCTTGGGTGCCAGTTGCACTCATTCCTGGATCTGGAGGCCTTGCTCACAGTCACCCATCCTTAGTCTCCTCCCGTTTGGATTACTGCAACATGCTCTACATGGGGCTGCCCTTGAAGACCATCCGGAAGCTGTAACTGGGCCAGAATGCAGTGGCAGACACAGTTTTGGGTGCCCTGCAGTTCACCCGAGTAACACCACTACCGCATGAGCTGCACTGGCTTCCAGTTGCTTTCCAGATGCAATTCAGAGTCCTGGTTATCATCTTTGAATTCTTACAAGGCACAGGGCTAGGTTACTTGTAGGGCCGCCTCTCCCTGAGGATATCTGCCTGTCCTCTAGGCCAGATAGGGCGGGTGCGCTCCAGGTCCCCTTTCTTAAACGTTGTCATCTGTGGGACCTTGGAGGCGTGCCTTCTCAGTGGCTGCCCTAGCACTTTGGAACAGCCTCCTACCTGAAATCCAAGCGACCCCTACCCTTTTAACCTTCCGGAGAGCTGTGAAGACCTGGCTCTTTCCCCAGGCGTTGGGCTGGGATGGGGGTTGAGCTGCAAGGATGGCGGTCTGGCGCTTGGAGGGAAGAGTACTTTTGTTTTTAGCTATGTTTTTTATGGATTGTTGTGAGCCGCCTAGAATCATCATATAAGATAGGCAGCCATGTAAGTAAGTAAGTAAATTGGGGCAAACCTCCAAGTGTCCATTCCAGGTTCTGCCTGCTCCTCCCCAGTGCAGTTTCTGCCACCCTCTCTCTGTTTTCTTTACAGCCCCGACAATGACAACTCTGGACGATAAGCTGCTGGGGGAGAAACTCCAGTACTACTATAGCAGCAGCGAGGATGAGGATAGCGAGAAGGAGGAGGGCAACGCGGAATCCAACTCTGTTCACGATGCCACTGTGCCGAGAGAGGTGGCACTGAACAGCGACGGCAGTGCCATAAACACAGGTACCACAGATCCTTTTAGTCTCCCTGTTGATCTAGAATCAGTTCAGGCCTGAGTGAATCGATTGCTTTTCGTGTGTACTGAGGGTTTGGTAGCACTCGCTTTTTCTGACTTCTCTCCAGAGAATCTGGAAATGAAGTCCTGCTTTCCCAGCTGAAGACAGGAGAGAAATCCCCAGATGAATGTTACGTGAAAGACAGAGGTTTCCAGCAATCCTTATCCAGGGCTGGAACAAACCAGGGGGTTGTATCCCAGATTCAACCGTCTGTCCTTTTAAGCCTAGCATGGCTTGCTCAGAAAATTAAGCAGGAGAGAGCCTTTCGGCTATGCCTTCCCTTGTTACAGAGGAGACAAGAAAGATGAGTGTTGGACGGTACCGCCAAGCCTTACAAGCCCTTGTCTAAATTGAGGTCGGCTGTTAATCAGAGCAGACCGTGGTCCATCCAGAATGGTGCCTTCCGAAAGCAGCAGCTCCCCCCACTTGAAGGAATCCTTAAAAACAAGGACGTCCCTATAGAAATCCTCTGGTTTGAAAACACTTCTATGTAATTGGCCCGAACAGCACTAGTGAGGAAAAGTCCTTGGTTTTTCAGTAGAAGGATCGTTGACCAAAAATAGCCATTGCTTCTGCTTTGTTTTGCTGCCTCTTACTAAATTGCATGTTTACTTTCATGTTAGCGTTGGCAGATGTTCTGCCTTCCTCCCCAAGTCATTCTGAGTGCTTGGATCACGAATCTGTTTAGCTCGGGACTCTCTGCTCCGATGCGGCAGCCCTTCAGGATGTTAGCTGAAAACACTGCTGGGCGAGGTTTTCTGTGAGGGGTGCGTGCATGTGCATGCGCATGCATAGGTTTTTACACCTTTTATACGCAGGCCCTGTTTGCGCTCTCTGATTGGGTCTCCATCCTATTCTAATAAATATTTCAGCCTTTTCAGGGGCCGCATTTCAGCCCCGTAGGAAACAGCCATTTTTCTCCAATTGGGCGTCTCCGTTTTCCAGCCTTTTCCATGTCCACGTGTCCTCCTAGACCCGGCTTTTACAAAGGGGTTCAGTGTTTTAACATGATGCACAATTTCCAGCCCCTCGCCCCCTTAAATCCTCCCCATAATAGGGGCACTTGATGCCTTTTGCCGAGATCACTGAGCTGTGCAGTTACCGCGGTAGGTTTTATTGTGCCTTCTTCCCAGGTCCTAAAGGCGTGATCAATGATTGGAGGAGGTTCAAACAGCTGGAGACCGAGCAGCGGGAGGAGCAATGCCGAGAGATGGAGCGGCTTATCAAAAAGCTCTCCGTGACCTGCAGATCACACCTGGATGAGGAGAAGGACAAGCAGAAGCAGAAGGAGCTACAGGAGAAGCTGAATGACAAGGTAACGCTCTCGGGGTGGCTCTCTTTCCACCGCTCGCTTCTTTTTCAACTTGGCAGTCACACAGAGGCTGTTTTGCAGTGGAGAAATCGAAGTAAACAGCCCGCCCTTGCACTCACTTTCACCTCGTACCTTAGGTGCTTAAATTACGGGCCTTTTTGCTGCTTTAACAATCCTGCCACGCAGGAACTGCATCTGTAAAAACTCTCTAGAGCCTGAAATGCTAGCGTTCTGAGGGTGGCCGGGCTGACTCTAGGCCAGGCCCGCGTTCCCCCGAAGGACACCTGAGAACGTTTGCTTGGTGAGAATACAAAGGGCTGTGCTAGCATTCTCTGACTGTTCTTGCAGAACTTCCAGCGTTGAGCTCGAGGAGAGGAATTAAGGCAAACTTTCACAGATTCAACCAAAGGGGAAAAAAGACATCTTGATGCTTCCTGATTAGTCCTTTATTTGCAGGGTTCCTTTTGAGGGAAGCGTTCGGTGGCTCCTTTTTAGCTTTCGTACCCCTGTCCCCCAGGCACAGCCATGCAGGCATCAAGGCAGGATCTCACCCTCCGAACTCAGCAGGGCTGAGGGTCTCCCTTCCCTCGGCATCCTGCCCGTTAAAAGGTGTGGCCTCTTTGTTCCCCTCCTCCCAGCTGGCACTGCACGAGGGGGCCGACGACGAGGAGTTCCTGCAGCAGTACCGCAAGCAGCGGATGGAAGAAATGCGTCGCCAGCTGCACCCGGGCCAGCAGTTCAAGCAGGTGTTTGAGATCCACAGCGGGGAGGCCTTTCTGGACGCGGTGGACAAGGGCAACAAGAAGACGCTGGTGATGATCCACATCTACGAGGACGACATCCCCGGGGCCGAAGCCCTCGACGGCTGCATGATCTGCCTGGCCGCCGAGTACCCCACGGTGAAATTCTGCCGGGTGAGAAGCTCCCTGATTGGCACCAGCTCCCGCTTCACCAGCAACGCCCTGCCTGCTCTCCTGGTCTACAAGGGCGGGGAGTTGATCGGCAACTTCATCCGCATTACCGACCAGCTGGGCGAAGACTTCTTTGCTGCGGACTTGGAGGCCTTCCTGCAGGAGTGCAGCTTGCTCCCCGAGAAAGACGTGGTGCTTTTCACTTCGATTTGCAACGCTGCCTCCTGCTACGATGAAGACAGCGACTTGGAAATTGACTGAGGCCCAGAGGACCGGTCACATGGCCTCCGAGGGCCCCTTGCTAGTTTGTAAAGGGTAGTTGTTTGCCAAAGAGGCATGTACCCTCCAGTCCCTGAGCCCATCCGGCAGGTCTGCAGCCTGCCGCCGCCTCTTTCAGTTGTGCCCTCAAGCCCTGCCCTGCCCTGCTCGTTGGCATTGCGTAGATTCAGAAATAGGCTTTCCAGTCTGGAGTCACGTAGCAGCAGCCTCCCAGAGCAGGGGTGCGTGGGCCGTATGCCAGCCCCATAATTTCTTTGGGGAGAGGGGGTCATCTCATTGTTTGCTTAACCTGATAGTGATCGGCAGGACTTGGAGGTCTCAGGAGTTGCTTGGGGCGGCAGCTACCCCGGCGTTGTTACCTTAACCTTTTTCACACCGTGAAAAATCTTGGAGCCGGTTGTCTGCGCTTCCCTGGATTTGGCTGTCCTGGGGTGTCTCCCCTCTCCCCTCTCTTGTGCAGATTGACTGTTTAAGGTTTCTTCACACCTAGCAGAACTTAATGTTTTCTTAACGCAATAAAAGATTAAAATCTTAACCTTCTAATTGAGTAGTTGCTTGACCAAACCGTCCCGGGCAAGGAGGGTGGGGGAGTCATCAAGGGCTTCTTCCAAGGCACCCCGCGGTGGAAAAAAGGGGGCAGAAGCGGCACCTGAGAGCCTTTTGCCCTTGTGCCAGTTAAGGAGAGTAGGACTTGGGGCCGGAAGTAGCTCATGGTGACACAGCATCATGTTCTGGGGCCCAGACCTGCTGACTTCCCCCTCCCATTCCAGGCCCCTTAGAAATGCATCTGGATTCCTCTCAGCATCCCGGGCTGGGAACACCACCTCTGTCTGATGGTGGCCTTGTTGGACTTCAGTTCCCATAATGCGCAGCCATTGGCTAGGGTTACGGGAGTTGAAATCTGGCACAATGGAGGGCCCCTCACCTAGGAAATCCAGGGTGGGGACATCAGAGGAGGGAGCTTACTGGAGACTGACTACAGCAGGGTTCCTCAACCTTGACGACTTGAAGATGTGTGGACGCCAAGTCTCCAAGGTTGAGGAACCCTGGACTAGAGGACACCTGCTAATGGGCACCAGGACTCACCTGAAGGGAGGTAGCCCACCCCAAACTGCTCCTGTGCAGAACTGAAGAGTAACCACGGTGGGGAATCTGGGTTTCTTTGCTCATTTTTCCTATTTGTCTTGCCACAGCTATTTTTCCAATATCTGTACTTGGCACGGAAGGGGAACTGGCCCTCCATGGGACCCAGTGATCAGGGGCACTTCTCCCTTTCTAAGATGACTGGGGAGGGGAATGCCTGCAGCAATTTCTGTTAGCAACTTTCGTCTGTTGGGTACCACTTGAAGTCAGCTCAATGTCGCCATTAAAGTCAGAGAAGTTCTTGCTGTGTTTGTGGGAGCAGGTTGGATACCTTCTGGCACTAGGGCATCTTCACGTACCCCTTTGGACTTTCACATTTTCATTATTTTTTGAACGTAGAAACATTTCTTTCCCTCCTGCTCCCCTTCTGGCTTATTCAGACAGCAACATAGAAGTATTAAGTAGGTTTAGGCACTATTTTGGAAGCTCTTCAAGTGATCGTTTTAAAAGGCGGTCGGTCAGGCATCAGGAGCAGATCCGGAGTCTGTTGGCCTGCCTGACATGTCAAGAAATAATTTTTTTTCAATGTAATTTAGATGCTTCTGAGATAAATTCGCAGCCATGTGTATCAATTCGCTATCTCCCATTAATTGTATAACTCTGTGATATAAATGCCAGCCATTTCAGAGTATAAGGTGATACATTTCAAGGGCTGAATTAATATTACCGTGTTCAAGGGGGGTTTACTTTCCCCTGAACAAGGAAAGTTGTTTTGAAAAAAAAAAATGACAAGCCGATTGCAACATGTGTTGTTCAGCCTTTGACTTTCCCCGTTGTAAAGAAAACCAGATGCTTTTCTAATTTCCACAGCGGGAGAAGAGTTCGCATTTGGACCATTAAATAATGTTGGAACGGGACATAAGGGAAGCCACTTAGAATGATGCCTGGAAGTAGCTAGTAGTTCATCCCTGGCGTATCGTAACAGGAAAAATCTCTTGTGGGCCAGATACCCAAGGCTTAATTAAGCCTGTTCAAAGGCAGGGAGGGTGGGGTGATTGAGGGATCAAGTAGGGCAGAGAATGTCATAAGTCAACTGAGGTGGACTCTGTCTAGCTAGCTGTACATGGAGGATGCTCCACACGGCAACGCTTGGTTGCAAAACTCCTTGTCATTCAGGGGCTTCTGCCAGGTGACCAGTGAGGAGAAGGCGCCTTGCATCCCTCAACCCTGGCTCTGGCCACCACACAGGGCTCAGAGCAGGTGCGCGCGGCCCCGGCCCTTCCCGGAGGAATCTGGGCGGCTGGCGGCTGCGTGAGTAGGTCTCCCCCCAGACCTCCTTGGGTGAAGTGGGGAGAGGCTGCGTTGTGGCTTGGCAGACTCGGGAGAGTGTCTGGAGAGGAAAAACGGCAAAGTCTGAGCGATTCAAGAGCTGAATTTCGGCACGTTGTGCTGAATGGCCAGTTTTTCATCTGCTCGGTGTCTTTATAAATGATTTATTACAATTGCTAGTAAGGACATAGAACACCCTCTTCTCCAGGAATCTGCCTGGAGCTTCCTTTTGGTCAGGGAAGAAGGGTGTGCCGAATCATACCGGATGGGTGCTCTTAAGGAGCATGTGTGACTCAGGCACTAAACATTTGTTTATGGCAGTCATGCTCGCGACGTGAAATTAAGCTTGGCAGCTGCTCAGACAAGCCACCGCAGCGGCAGAGCGTGTGCTGGAGCGGCAGCCTTCCCCAGCTGCGCTCTCCAGATGGGCCAGATTGCCATCCCTCCTCCCCCAGCCAGGGTGCTGATGGGGGATGATGGGAGTTGTAAGGTAACACCCCTGGAAGGCAGCAGGAGCACACCTGCACCAGCAGAAGGGTGTTTACACGTTGCTGGGAAGTCATCTGGGTTTGGCCCGGAAGGGGGGGAGAGCCGTGCCTTTCAGCAGCCAGGTGACAGAAGTCCTTTCCTCTCTGCCCCACCCCAAGGCTAAGAAGCCATGGGAGTGAGACCCACACCCACAGGCACAGCCCACTTTGCTGGATTGCAGGGGTCTTTTTACCAAGAAAAGAACACAAGGATTTAACAAGGGGGCTCGACAACCAGGGTTGTAGTGAAATCACGATCTCAAGGGAACGGGGTGAAGATGGAGTAGGTGCTGTGCTCTTAAAGCTATGCTATAATTAGTTTTTGTCTTTCCCCCAACCTTTCTTTCTTTCTTTCTTTTTTAGATCCCCAGTCCTTTGCTACCTAAGGCAGCTAATGTCTGGGAACGCAACCCAACTTGATGCAGTCAGATTCGTACCGCGATACCAGCCAGGATTAGCACCCCCCTGCCCCCTCCCAAGCTGTCAGCCTGGATGCTGGAAGACGGCGAGGGCTGCGCTTCGTTTTTCAGCGCCGAGGCAAGCAGGGAACGTCACGCTGGCTGACTTCTGCGCGCGTCAAGGGATGGCAAGGTGAGGGGGCAGTGGACCATGTGAGGGGTGGCTTTTGCAGGCACGCTTGTATCCTGACAAGACAGGAGGGCGGTCCATAGGCATGGAGGACAGAAACCAGGGAAGGAACCTCAGGGCATAGAGGACTGCAAGGAGCAGCAGTGAGGCAAGAGGTGGGGAGCATCCTGACCTCGTGCTCAAAGGGGGTAGGGTTGGGAAACCACAAAGCTGGGCTACAGTTTACAAAGGTTTCGATGCCAGGGTTAATGGGAGGCCCTCTAACCATATTTGGACTCCAGCATCTGTGCAGGTTTTCCAGGTGATGCTGACGATAACGTTTCCCAACCTGGAGAAAAAAATGCAAATTTGTGACTGCTTTAGCTCAACAAACAACCAAACAGGATTCCATTTATTTTGAACATCTCCTCCTTTTTCCCACCCTACTTCACACGTTTGTCGGTTTCCTCCTGGAAACCTCGCACAAATGCACGCCTGCATAAATAAGTTTGAGCGCCGTCCAAGAGACAGATGTTTTCCCGAATCTCTCACCTAGAGCAGGTTTTGTCATCTCCAGTTCACTTTCCAGAACTCTGCTCTGCTTGCTGATATGAAAGTCCCCGTGGCAGCCGTGAAAGCAACACCAAAAAAGGGCAGGGAGGGAGCTAAAAGCAGCCAAGGAGATTTGCCAGAGACTCATTCCTTCCACTCCGTTAAGCTGGTTTTTCCTCTCCTCTCTGGACACGATCCCCAAAGGCACTTACGGCATGTGAGGAGAGGGGGCTAGGTCACAAGGCGAGGAAGATAGGCCACACATCCACGCACGCACGCGCACACACTCACTTTCCTTCTCGTTCGCACTCTCTCATAAACTCCTGGTCTCCAGCCTGAAGGAGGAGTACGACTAGACCAAGGAGCGCTTTGTTAAAGCTCCGATGAAGGCTGCTGCTTCCCATCGGCGCTTTCAGGTGATGCTTCTCCACGACCAGGCACGTAGAAAGCCACATAGGGACACCGCTTCACATTGAGGCACACCAGTTTTTGTAAGCTCGCCGTGTTCACGATCTCGAAGCCAGTGGCCCCGCCAAAAGTGCTGGGCTTCCAGTATTCAGGAGAGCAGATGGGGTTCCCCAAGAGCCCCTTCAAGGAGAAGGGAGCGCCCATTTCTACCATGCTTTCTCCAAATATGCCGTTGGGGTAGATCTTCTCTACCAAGAGGCCTGGGTAGAACTCCACAGCATCAATGTCTCCATACAGACCTTCCAGCTTGGCAGCCATGTTTTTGTCACCTGCACCAAGAGAAGAGAAGAGAGAAGAGAGAAGAGAGAAGAGAGAAGAGA